GGAGATGTGGAACCAAAAGAAACTTTACACTCTTTTATAACAGTGTCATAAACATAAAAGGTGGAAAAACGTGAAAGAATCCTAGAATATGTATGACCGATTAATGGGACCTCAGAGTGTCGAGTAGCTATGGCACAACAGAACTTAGTGGTAGTTCGACCTCATCCAACACCAGGCAGAATCTGGAATGGTACATCAGATCAGCAGTAGGTAGGGGATCACCTATCTCTTCACCTCGAAATGGGAATTGGTAGGGAAGATGAGCTTCTCTACCAAAATCCTTCTCCACTTGTATGTATTTCCAACACAACCAACACCAGATCCACCAAGAACCAACATCCAGTAGATAGCAAGAAGGTGGAAAGCCCCAGTGGGATGACATCTCCAGTCCAAAACCTGACTAAAATGAGTATGGTACTTCCAGTCCACAGTAGGAGAAGGATAACCAACTGTACACAAGTTGGAAAACATGCTGCATCCAGTTACAATCAACACCAGATCCAACAGGAACCAACATTCATCAGACAGTAGAAAGGGGGATTGCAAACCTCGGGTGCATCTCCAGTCCAAAAACCTAGCAGCAGTGAGCATTTGTCATCTAGTCCACAGTAGGAGGAGGGATACCAACCAGCACTCATGTGAGGACTTACTTAGCTGGACCATCTCTAAACAACACCGGAGCTACCGGGAATGTACATCCAGAGGATGGTAGTTAAGAGGAATGTCTCTGCCTGAGGGGCAAACTGCAATTATAGATATATATTTATGACATGGAGGAGTGCTTCAACCAAAACCTCGGAGAATCTGCAATTGTACATCAGGTCTGCAGCAGGAAGGCCATTATGCCATCGACACTATTTTAATTGTGATCGGACCATCTCCAACTAACACCAGATCCACCAGGAATGTACCTTCAGAGAATGGTAAAAAGGAGGAATGCCACGGGCAGGAAAAAGTATATATAGATATATAGACAGTAATACAGATTAGTGCTACAACCAAAACCTGGCGGCATCTTGAATGGTACATCAGGTCCATAGTAGAAAGGGCTACAATGTAATTGATATTGAGCAGTTCACAGGATGGACAGTATGGATTTGCAAAAAAAAAGGTACACTTGGTCAGGCACCACTTTCCACAGAGTGGGATTCACAACAGACCAGCAAAAAATGCCCCTGAAAAAGTAAGAAAAGGTGGAAAAGCAATCTTGCACAATTCCAAATCATGAAAATTTAAATTAATAGTAAAGAAAATCGAAGTCTGTAGTATAAAGGAAAATGTTGACAAATCTGCAAGCAAAAACCGGAATGTCTGTAAAGTACTACTGCCAATTGAGAAGTGATTAATGAGTGCAAATGTCAAGAGGGCACTGGTTACGATAGGAGTTGTGCTCCTATTGGTGGAGAGCGCTGCATGTGGATGTGCAGAAGTGGGAGGTGAGCATTTAAAATTGGCACTGATGGAGAGCAGTGCTAGTGGAAAAAGGCTATTTTGTGACAGGAGGTAAAATATCATATCAAAAGTTTCCATTTCTGAAACTACTTGTCTATGTTAATAAGAGAAACAGGACACAACCACTGATATTTGAAATCAAGCATGCTCAGGATAAGTTTAAATTTTGTTCACCCAAATATATTTTTTATTTGTTAACAAATGACAAAATAGTCTTATATTAGCATATAAAACTATATAATTTTATTCAAAATCTAATTTTAATCTTTATGAATGCCAAGTTTCAAATGCCTATGATATTATTGTAATGAGCTGCATGCAGTGTATCTAAGCCATTTCTGCAATCTGGATGTAAAAAAACCATGTTACAGCCACTATTTTACTGAAATATTTGAAAATGAAAAAGATCAATTACGTTATGAAAGCTAGACTTTTAAGGTTCACTTTGCAGTTTTATCAAAAAAAGTCAAAGAAATTATGAACACACAAGTAAAACTGAGTGCCCTGTTAAATGTTCTTCAGGCTTCACTACTTTATTTCAAATTATAGCTTTTATAGTAAGGAATAAATTTTTAAAAGCTGTAACTTGTAATAAAAAAAAAATATTTATAATCAGTAAGTACTCTCAATTGAAAAGATTTAAATATTGTTTCACATGGGCTAAAATAGGATTCTCTACGTTGCTAAAAATACATAACTTCTTTTTTATTGACATAGAGCCACAGTTCCAAGTGATATGGAATGCAATTTTGTGTTTTATACAAATTCACTATAGACTTAAAGATTTCATCAATTCAGAATTATTTGCAAAGTCCCTAGTCAGTGTTATGACATGTGTTGCCTGACGATATGGTGCAAGCAGTTAGTTTGAATTGTTTAGAACTTTGCTATAAATACAAATACTTATAACATGGGCTTATTGTTTTTAAATGCTTATTGTGGTAACTCAACAGCGACTCTAATGAGCTAAATGGCCTTCAGTCACCTTGGCCTTTATGTTTTTACATAAAGGTAGTAATTGTAACTTGGTAAAAATTATAATATATGACAATGCACAAGTTGTATAGTTGAAACAGTTAGTTATTTAATTTAATCATTCATAAATTCATCTTAATATTGGTCTTAATCAACAATTATAATATTTTATTACATAAATTACATGGTCATTCACTATAGAATGCTCACGTAATAAATTAAGTGTAACTATAATTTCTAAATACCTAATACAAGACTAACAAGTATAAATTCTTATATTATAGGATCACTCTCTTAAATCCTTTAATTAGTCCTTGTCCAGGTTTACTGGTGATGGGTGGAATTCCCTGAAAGCGAGTAAAACGTGTAATTCAGTGTCAAAGGATAAACTGACTCAATGATGTCTAGATTGGGAATCACATTTAATTTTTCACCTTGTGCGAGACTTCAACAAGTATAACTTCTAATAATAGTAATATGAAGCAAATGTACATATATATTTTCCATAAATTCATAATATTAATCTAATGCAGAATTATAATCTTTAAAATATATATATAGTAACTACATCAAACTGCAAGAAAGTTAATTCAGGGATTGTTTCAAACTATTCAATGATAAGCCTACTGCCATTGCCAGTTAATACCCTTTGTACGATTATAGTTACAGTATCAATACTAGTACTGTATTAGTATTACTGTTAATAAGTAGTATACTGAATATTTGTCATACTGAAGTGCTACAGTACCAGTGCCCTTTGTATGATTATAGTTACAGTATTAATACTAGTACTGTAGTAGTATTACTCTTAATAAGTAGTATACTGAACATTTGTCATACTGAAGTGCTACAGTACCAATACTGAGATTATTCATTATGATAGGAAAATACCTAGGTTCAAAAAATCAATTAAAGACAAAAACAAAACCCCCACTTTCGAAACATTAACCTTCCTCCATCAGGAACAAACTATAATTAACTAAGCTTATCATATTCACAGAATTAAAATTTTGTATCGAAGTTGGAAATAACTACTGTATTTTTCGGAAATAAGACACATCTGTGTATAAAACGCACCCTTATTTTGAAGACAAAGTTTTGGGGGGAAAAAAAGCTACAGTCGTATTTGAAAGATTTTTACTGAACAAAAATTCAATTTGATACTTTTAAAATTAGTATATATTGTTCTAAACACAAAAGAGCTCAAAACA